GAGGAGGAGCTGCAGCAGCTGCGTGAACACCAAGTTCAGTGGAGGAACGGAGGAAGAAAGGAGGTGGGAGGTGTGCCAGAGCAGAGACCCCCCTGTATCCTGTGGTGAGAAGGCAGGGCGGCCCTGCCTGCCACCCGTGAAGTTCTATGGTAGAGCAGACACTGATTTATGGCCCGTGGCATCTGCCTGGAATAATCAAGGTGCTGTGTCAAAAGAAGGATGGGGTCTTGTGGGAAAAGTTAGACCCCACTTCTGTAATTCAGCACTGGGAGGATTGTAGCATGCGGGGGTGTCCCACGCCGAAGCAGCTCGGGAAGTGCTGCAGCCGTGGGAGAGGATCCAGTTGGAGAAAGTTAGTGACCCACGATGGAGCAGTGTGGGGAACGCTGCAGCCCATGGGAGTAACTCATGTTGGAGAAAGTTTGTGGAGGACCGTCTGCTGTGAGAGAGGGACCACGATGTAGCAGGGGGAAGAAGTTCCAGAAACTCCCATCACCGAAGATAAAGGAAGTGGCAGCACTGACTGCAACCCACATTCCCTGCCCCTGCGCTGCTGGGGGAGGTGGTAGAGATACCGGGAGCAGAACTGAGCCCAGGGAAAAAGGGAGGGGCGGGGGGAAGGTGTTATCAAGATGTGACAATGCTTCTCACTGTCCTACTCTGTTACGTGTTGTGTCTGTATTAAATGTATGTACTATTTTTTCTTCCCCTAACGAGTCTGCCTTTTGCTTGTGACCATAAAGGGGGGATTTTTTCCCCATTCCAATCCTATCTTGAACCCCAAGCCTGGCTTTCTGTCCCTTCTCATTGCCAGAAGAGAAGGGAGAGAGAAAGCTGCTGTGTGGTGGTTGGCTGCCGACCAAGCCCAAACCACGACACCTTACTTTCTCCTACCGTCCTGTTGAGGAGGGAGAGGGAGTGAGCAAGCAGCTGGCTGGGTGTCTGGAAGCCAGGCAAAGTCTATGTGCTTTTGTAAAGCGATGGTAATCAGGAGCGCCATGAGTGTTTGTCATTTACACGCTTTTTTCCTGCTTTCTATCTGCGCCATCAGGAGCAGTCTCCTTCTCCCACTACTTTTCCCCTCCGAGGATGGTGGGCAATGATGTCAAATGGCTTTTGTGCTTGTGTACGTGGTGAGGTGGATGTACTCAATGCCCCATCACCAAACTAGCAGAAGGTTGGTACAGGCTCCAAAGGAGGTCAAGGCCTGAGCTATGGCCAGGACTTGTAATTTCCTGAGGGTAAAAAATCTGCTCTTATGGAGTGTAGGGCTGCAACTTTGCCTTCTGTTTTGCAGAGCTACGACACACTCCAGACATGAGAGTTGTCCCAGCTTTTCCAAAATGCCAATACAATCATAGGTCTGCAAGTGTGCACAGAGGTTTTAAGTTGTCCTGCTTCTGTTCTGGCTCAGGCTCTTGTCTTTCAGATGTCTGGGGTCAAGCTGGAAAGGGAAGTCAGTGAGTGTACTGGTTTTGCCTGGGATAGAGTTAAGTTCTTCCTAGTAGTCTGTATGGGGCTGTGTTTTGATTTGTGCTGAAAATAGTGTTGATAATATAGGGATATTTTAGTTGTTGCTGATCAGTGCTTACCCGGCATCATGGCCTTTTCTGCTCCTTAGACTGCCCGCCAGCAAGTAGGCCAAGGGTGCCGAAGAAACTGGGAAGGGTCAGAGCTGGGACAGCTGTCCCCAGCTGACTAAAGGGGATTCCATACCATATTGACGTCAGACTCTGCAATAAAACTGGGGGGTGAAGTTGGTGGGGGCTGGATTGCTTGCAGACTGGCTGAGCATCAATCAGTTGGTGGTGAGCAACTGATTTCTTTTGCATCACTTATTTTTGCTTGCTTCATTTTCCTTTCTGAGAAAAGGTCACATTTGTGCTTGTCGTGGTTGGAGCCTGGTCAGCAGCCAACCACCCCGCAGCCGCTCACCCACCCTCCCTACCACCTGGCAAAGGGGGAGGGAATTGGAGGGGTAAAGGGAGACTCACAGGTTGAGGTAGAAACAGTTTAATAATGGTAACAAAATGAAAACAATGACAGCAACAGAAAATATAAATGGGCAACGCCCAATGCAAATGCTCACCACCTGCTGACCAATACCCAGCCTGTTCCCAGCTAGCAATCCCAAAATACCAAGATCCTGCAATCGCAGTCCCGGAAGCGAGAGTCCGCCCCCCCCCCCCCCCGCTTGCCGATCACCCCCTCCTCTATATAGTGAGCATGACGTTACATGATATGGAATATTTCATTGGCCAATTTGGGTCTGGTGCTCTGGCCGTGCTCCCTCCCTGCTTCTCGTGCACTTGCACACGAGCGGGACATGGGGAGTCGAAGAGTCCCTGAAATCTCAGCAGCAGCTGAAAACATCAGTGTGCTATCAGCATTCTTCTCATACCACACCCAATGCTGAATCCAAAACACAGCACTACTCTAGTTACCAAAAAGAAACATTAACTCTATTCCAGCCCAAACCAGGACAATGCTTTACATTATAAGGACAGTTTACACCACCTGTGTGCATTAATGATGGTTTTGGGATGTGTAAAAAATGACCCACGGTGTGTGGATGGAGCAGAACTTCCTCTCTTATGGGGATTACAAGATACTGTACACATGTATGCTATGTCAAAATGGAGGGGGCTTAGTCTGCACAGCATCAATTCTGATGTCCCAGAATCAGCAATTGGAGGCGGTGGGGAGTCTGCTTATCCCAGAAACACAGGTCTCTGCATTTGTGGGAGTACAGCAGTGAGGCATTGCTCCATAGAGAGGGGATAAGGCTGGTCCAAGAACGCCTAGGAAGATGACCACGCTACTAGAGAGTTTTAAGCATTTTGTAATTCTTGTTAATGTATGTGAGGACATCTCTAGCTGAGAAGGAGTTGTCAAATGCCCTCTCAAGGAGGATGTCTAACCCTTGAGAGACAGGGAAAATCACACCACTATGGCTGTAGAAATGGTGGTTTAGCCACACCCTGCCCCTACTCAGCTCACCTGACTCTCCAAGTGGTCTCACCTCTGCTCACGCCACCACTGCTGCTCACACGCAGGCCAGGGTCTTCACAGCACTGCAGTCCCTGGCTGCTGGAGATCTCTCCTTGCCCCTTGCCTGCTCCCCAAGGCTTCCTGTGATCAGAGAGCCTCTGTCCTCTTTGCAGCAGATCTTTCAATAGGGGACCACTGTGCTGAGGTCCCCCTGAGCCTTTTGTTCTCCAGGGAGAAAAGACTTAACTCCGTCAGTCTTTCCTCATAGGACAGGTACTCCAGCCCTTCAATCATCTTTGACGCAAGGGGGTGGCAGCAGGCAGAAGTTCAGGGTCGGCGGAGCCCAAGTCGGGGCACTCACATCACAGCAATGGCAGCCCCCACCTACAGAACATCAGCAAACATAAATGGGCCATAAATCAGTGTCTGCTCTACCGTAGAACTTCACGGGTGGCAGGCAGGGCCGCCCTGCCTTCTCACCACAGGATACAGGGGGGTCTCTGCTCTGGCACACCTCCCACCTCCTTTCTTCCTCCGTTCCTCCACTGAACTTGGTGTTCACGCAGCTGCTGCAGCTCCTCCTCACAAGTCTGATGGCACGTCACCATGTCCCTTCTTAAATACGTTATTGTAGAGGCTCAGATGATTGGCTCAGGTTTCCAAACAGAATTGGAGTTGGCTTGGAGCTGGGAGATCTTCGAGAAGCTTCTCACAGGGGGCCTCCCACATAGCCCCCTCTCCTGCCACCAAAAATACTCCACCGCTCACTCAACCCAGGACATAAGTTGAAAAAGATAATGGGTCGATGTAAAGACAGGGGGATAACTTAACAGTTACCAACACAGGAAAAACAGGCTAGACTTGGGAAATTTCCTTTAACCTATTACCAGTGAAAAATAGAGAAGCACTTCATAAGAGCAGGTTTTTGCCCCTCAGGAAACTACGAGGCAGATTCCTTTGGGAAAGTGCCCTGAGGGTTCAAAGGGGCCTAGGGAGATCATGAAATACAGCAGTTAAGATATGATGATAATAACACTAAGGAAATCACAATAATTAATTCAATCCATTTCACTGCCTAAAGAATCTACCAAGGACTTTAGATGGCTGTATTTTTGGAAGATTTATTCCAACTCTTTAAATGCAACAAATTATACGATTTTCCAAAGTTACATCTGTTCCTTAATGAAGACTGGACTGATTCCAAAATACCTTCACTCCACCTCCAAAGCTTCTTCACATACACAACTTCCTTCGTAACTCCCTCTATTACCTCCAACTTAAGCTCTTCTATTTCCTCCAACATTAAGCAGCACAGGGGATGTGCATTGTGGGGTTGCGGTCAGTACACAAGTCTCTTTCTGCACAAAGATGGACTTTGCCTGAGTTGATCCTGAACAAGCATCAAGGTGTAGGTGGTCTCTTCTAAATCACAAGTCCCTGCCTTCCCAGACAGAGTTGCTAGGCCATCAGAATTTGTGATTTTATGGGGGCTACATAAGTCCTTGTACTTGAACATCAAAGAAGATTGACACAATGCTGTTTGACTCACCCTGTGGCACCCAGGGTCTGTCCTATATCTCACTGCCAAGCAACACCTGGAGCCCAGTGCCTTTGGACCAATATCCCTTTGGTGCAAAGTCTCGTCCACTGCCTCGCTCTGCACGGGGCTGGAGACATGCAGAAGTGCATCTGGCATTGTCAGCTAAATGAGAAGCCTGTGCCCCGTCCCAGTCACCAGCAACACTACATCATAAGGGCATTGATACAGGGACAACAGCCTGCGTAAGCGGGCAGGCTTTCTTGGCTTTCCTCCATCTATGTAGAGCAAGAACTGGTGGGCACAGGAGGCAGAGAATGTGCTTCATTTCTCTGGGCACCTCTCTGCCAGATCGAAGGCACCGCTTCCAACTGCAGATGGATTCCCCTGGCATAGGCAACCTGCTACTCTGCGGTGCTCATGGACACAACAAGAGAGAATGCCCAGGCTATGACCTGCACATGCCCTCACGATGAGGGTCACACAAGTACAGAGGGACACACGTGTGCTCACACATGCCTGCATGGAGCCATGCAAAACTAAGGATGCTCACATAAAGCCAGGAAACCACCGGCAGCTGCAGACCCTGTTGTTGAGATGCTGGGGACCACACTGGCAGAACACAATTCAAGAACCCCGGGAAGAGAGCAGGCCCCACTCATGCTCCTGGTGGACACGAGTGCAGCAAATTTGTCTTCAGAGTACTGTTAATGTTCCAATAGTGCAATAGAGGGATGGGAGCAGGAGGACAAAAAGCATTTGGCGTGTCATCTCTCATGGGCGTCCTTCGGAACACTCGGACAAGGAGCACAAGAGCGGTGCCCATTTCCTGACAACTTTGCCACGAGCAATCCCACAGAAATGACGCAGGTGCATATCACCTGACTGCACATGATGCCACAAGCACTTGAGTCGAGTCTTCTGCCTGCGCTGACGTATTTCTGCCCCGGAAAACCTTAGGCCTCTCATCCCGGCACTTACAGAAGCCTTCATATGGGAAAGCGCGTGACAGAAGCCAGGAAATGAAAAGGCAGCAGTGCAGGAAGCCAGGACACAACCCATGCCATTAGCTGGGATGTTTTGCATTTGGCATGAGCTCGCCAGAAAATTATTACTTCCACAGAGCGTGCGAGGCAGTTCAGGAGGACTATAAAAGAGAGCCCAGCTCTCTCCTCTCTCATCCACTTCTCTCGCCCCCTTCTCCTTGGGAACCAGGTGAGTGTGAAGCCTCTTCTGCTCCTCCTTCAAGATCAGGTCTTTCCTCCGTGTATGTCTCAGGTGACACGGGCTGTCCAAGGCCAGAGCTGGGAGCTTCTTCTCATGGGACATGGAAGGGGGGAGAAATTCTTCTGCAGAGACACCCTGGGACTGAGTGGGGGTGGCTCCGGGGCTTTGAGCTGGGCAGCGTACACTGGGCTCGGGGGTGCCTCGGCTCCACTGTGGTTGGGTGCGTTGCTGCTTCTCACATGACTCCGTTTTCTGGTCCCCGCTGCCCTCTCCCCCAGGTGCACCTCCGGCCCCGAGACATGTCCTGCTGCAGCCCGTGCCAGCCCTGCGTGCCCTGCTGCCAGCCCTGTGGCCCGACCCCGCTGGCCAACAGCTGCAATGAGCCCTGTGTCAGGCAGTGCCAGAGCTCCACCGTCGTCATCGAGCCCTCCCCCGTGGTGGTGACCCTGCCTGGCCCCATCCTCAGCTCCTTCCCACAGAACACCGTTGTGGGCTCCTCCACCTCCGCCGCCGTCGGCAGCATCCTCAGCTGTGACGGAGTCCCCATCAACTCGGGGGGCTTTGACCTCTCCTGCATCACCAGCCGCTACTGTGGCAGAAGGTGCCCCCCCTGCTAAAGCTGCTGGCAGCGTCCTTGGGCAAGACCCTCTGAGACCTCTGAATATGGTGCTGCAATAGAGAGCCAATGGCATTGCATTAAGAGCTTCAGGACATTGTTTCTTTCTTGCACTCTCTTCTCTCTCTCATTCCTTTGCTCTCACTATCTCCTAACACCAGCCTAGCGGGGACCTGTTGGCCTCCCTCTCTCTGCAAGGCAGGCAGACGGACACCCTGCCGGAGCTTCACTGCATCTTAGTGCCTGGCCCTGGTGCCCCCTGGGAGCCACCTCCTTTTCTTCTTCAGACTCATTAAAATTGTGCTGCTTCCAAGCCCGCGCCTCCGAGTCCTCCTTCCTTCTGGGGTAACTCTTCCAGTCTGCTCAGGAACAAAAAGGGGGTTTTTGGAGAGGATGCGTTTGGGCGCAAAAGAGGACCCTTCCTCATTCCCAGGGGAAGGAGAGGGTAGGACTCACTGCACCGGGTTGTCTTTTGTGCCCCGTGCCCTGGAGCTGAAGGAAGACATCTCTGGCTGTGCCACAGCCAGTGGCTATCAGTCTCTGCAGCCTTGCTGCCTCCCTTCCCAGGTGGGCCTGGAGCACTGGGCCCTGGACCAATTTCTGTGAATGAGGAGCCCAGCAACTGCTGCCCTTGAGTGAGGAGCCCACGGCTGTGGGAGGCCAATGGATGAGGTTAGCAGCCCCTCCGGCTCTTGGAGAACAGCCTTCCTCTCGCCCCGGATGCACCTCTGCTGGGGAAGGAGGTTCAAATAGATGTTGGCTCCAAGGGGCAGCAGGAGTGGTGCTGGGGAAAGAGTGATGCCTGAGGACAGCCCACAGTCTTAGCTCCCCCCATTCCCTCTCCTCCTTTACTTGACCTGTGTTCCATGGCCAGTGCACACGGGCACAGGCAGGTGAGGCCGGTACATCATACAGTTCTTCAACACCCGGCAGGGCCCAGCTGCTGTCCAGACATGCAAGGCTGAGGTAATTCCCAAGTTAGTACTGGTATCAAACAGATTGGAGTCCCTGCTCCCTGGAAACACAACGGCCCCATAGGCCACTGCAGCTCCAGCAGAGCATGGTGAGGAAGAGGTGGCTCTGGGCTCTAGCCAAGATAATTTCTCCTACCCATGTCAGCCTGGTTCCTCTGAAGACAAAGCGATAGGGTTGAGTCCTTCACTTGAAAACATGGTACATTAATTTCATGTTGTCAGAGATGAACTCATTGCTCCAGAAGGATGCTCAGCTTACTGGGTGTCTCACCATAGTTTATCCTCCCCTGGGCAAAGACATTGGCAGTGTTCTCTCCTCTTCCGAATCACACTTGATGACCTCTCCAACAATGGTCTACATTACTGAGGTAAAAGGGATTGCTTAGTCTGGAGAAAAGGAGGCTCAGGAGAGACCTTGTTGCTCTCTACAGCTACCTGAAAGGAGGTTGTAGCAGGTGGGTGTTGGTCTCTTTTCCCAAGTAACAAGTGATAAGATGAGAAGAACCAGCCTCAAGCTGTGCCGGGGGAGGTTTAGATTGGATATTAGGAAAGATCTCTTCCCTGAAAAGGTGTATTGCAGTCAAGACTAACATATTTTTCAGAGAAAATGGGATACAGCATGGCTAATAGCCTTTTCCTTTCTTAGACTCGATCACTGAGTGAGGCCTATACTGCAGGCAGGGACTGGCAAAGACTGCAGTGCTGGGAAGGGCCTGCATGTGAAGAGCAGTGGTGGTGTGAGCAGGGCTTGGGCTGCCCCTGCCTCAAAGGACTTGCGGAGCAAGGGAAGATGAGTGCAGGCAGGGTCATCCCCAGCGTTTGTGCTGTAGTTGGGTTGGTACCTGTCATGTACCACCGTGTTCTGGGGCCACAAGCGATGCTTGAGCCATGGGGCTGCCTGTAGGGGTCACACACACAGTGGAGAAACGTGGATACTGGCAACTGACCCTGGTGCTTGAGAAGCAGATTTCGTTAGGAGGTGATGAAGCCTTGGTCCCTGGGCAAAACAAGAATGTGCCCAGTGAGAATTAGGAAGGGTGTGTCTAAGCCCAGAGATGTGGGCAGAAGGAGCATGGGTGGAACCTCCCATAGTTCACGGGGTGCTCTGTGCCTGGGCCATAATTTTGAGCTCAGAGATGCCTACAGGAGTTCCTTTTCTGCAGCCAAGAGACCACAGACACCCGAGGAATGCCAGGATTTAGAGTATTACCCGGGGCTGAATGCCAAGGTCTAAAAAGAAGTTTTCAAGTATCACTGAAAAGCGTACCTAAATCTTGGCATTAATAGTGAAGCCACGAGTTGATTGCACAGGGAAGATGGACACCTGAAACAAGCCATGGGATTCTTTTGGGGGTCTTTCTTTTATGGGGAGTGGGGAGTCCATTGCACAGCCTGAGCATGGCTGATCCCAGTACTAACTTGTGAATTACCTCAGCCCTGTCTGGACAGCAGCTGGTCCCTGCCGGGCGCTGAAGGACTGTATGAGGTACCGGTCTCACCTGCCTGTCCCCATGTGCTCTGCCCATGGAACCCAGATCACGTAATGGAGGGAAAGGGAAGGGGGAGATGAGTTTATGTGCCTGTCCCCAGGTCTGATTTTCTCTGCATCCCCACTCCTGCCAGCCTTTGGAAACATGTTGTCACTCACGGCCATTGGCTATGGAGTAGCTATGGATGTCTTCCTCAACTCCATGGAAAAGGGGACTGAAATTGTTGCCTCAGAAGGAAGGAGGACTCGGAGGACCAGGTCTGGATGCAGCACAACTTTAATGAGTCTAAAGAAAGAAAGGAGGTTTCTCAATGGCAAACCGAGGAGCAGCCAACATGGTGTGTTGGAACTTCTGCGGAATGTCTGTCTGCCTGTCCCACAAAAGGAGGGAGGAGAATAGGTACCAGCTAGGCAGGCGTTGGGAGACAGTGACAGCAAAGGAAAGAGAGAGAGAAGAGAGTGCAAGAAGGAAACAATGTCCTGAAGCTCTTAATGCAAGGCGATTGGCTCTCTATTCCAGCAGCATGTTCTGAAGTCTCAGAGGGTTGTGCCCAAGGACGCTGCCAGCAGCTTTAGCAGGGGGGGCACCTTCTGCCGCAGTAGCGGCTGGTGATGCAGGAGAGGTCAAAGCCCCCCGAGTTGATGGGGACTCCGTCACAGCTGAGGATGCTGCCAACGGCGGCGGAGGTGGAGGAGCCCACAACGGTGTTCTGTGGGAAGGAGCTGAGGATGGGGCCGGGCAGGGTCACCACCACGGGGGAGGGCTCGATGACAACGGTAGAGTCCTGGCACTGCCTGACACAGGGCTCATTGCAGCTGTTGGCCAGCGGGGTCGGGCCGCAGGGCTGGCAGCAGGGCACGCAGGGCTGGCACGGGCTGCAGCAGGACATGTCTCGGGGCCGGAGGTGCACCTGGGGGAGAAGGCAGCAGGGGAGCAGAAAACGGAGTTATGTGAGAAGCAGCAACGCACCCAACCACAGTGGAGCCGAGGCACCCCTGAGCCCAGTGTACGCTGCCCAGCTCAAAGCCCCAGAGCCACCTCCACTCAGACCCAAGCTCTCTCTGCAGAACAACTTCTCCCCCCTTTCATGTCCCATGAGAAGCAGCTCCCAGCTCTGGCCTAGGACAACCCGTGTCACCTGAGACATACACGGAGGAAAGACCTGATCTTGAAGGAGGAGCAGAAGAGGCTTCACACTCACCTGGTTCCCAAGGAGAAGGAGGTGAGAGAAGTGGATGAGAGAGGAGAGAGCTGGGCTGTCTTTTATAGTCGTCCTGCACTGCCTCGGGCCCAGAGGCACCCTCTGTGGAAGTAATAATTTTCTGACGAGCTCATGCCAAATGCAAAACATCCCAGCTAATGGCATGGGCTGTGTCCTGGCTTCCTGCACTGCTGCCTTTTCATCTCCTGGCTTCTGTCACGCGCTTTCCCATATGAAGGTTTCTGTAAGTACCAGGATGAGAGGCCTAAGGTTTTCCGGGACAGAAATACGTCAGCGCAGAAGGAAGACTCAACTCAAGTGCTAGTAACACCCTTTGCAGTGTGTCATTCCTGTGGGCTTGTTTGTGGCAAAGTTGTCAGGAAATGGGCACCACTCATGTGCTCCTTGTCCGATTGTGTCCAAGGACCCACATGAGAGAGGACACCCCAAATGCTTTTTGTCCTCCTGCTCCCATCACTCTCATAAGGTCCATCACTGTTGCACACATGTGGGCTTCTGCTGGAAGGATATGACACTATTGCAACACTAACAGTACTCTGAGGATAAATTTGCTGCACTCGTTTCCACCAGGAGCATGAGTGGGGCCCGCTCTCTTCCCGGGGTACTGTGTCGTGTTCTGCCAGTGTGGTCCCCATCGTCTCCCCAACAGGGTCCGCAGCTGCCGATGGATTCCTGGCTTTATATGTATGCTCAAATATTTGCATGGCTCCATGCAGGCTGTTGTGGTTTGGGCCTGGTTGGCAGCAAACCACAATGCAGCATCTCTCTCTCCGTTCCCCTCCGGCAATGAGAAGGGACAGAGAGAAGGCTTGGGGTTTGAGATAGGACTGGGATGGGGAAAAATTCCCCTTTATGATCACGAACAAAAGGCAGACTCGTTAGTGGAAGAAAAAAACCCATACATTTATTACAGACACTAACAACACATAACAGAGTAGGACAGTGAGAAGCATTGCCACACCTTGAGAACACCATCCCCCCACCCCTCCCTTTTTCCAGGGCTCAGTTCTGGTCCCGATATTTCTACCTACTCCCCCAGTGGCGCAGGGGCAAGGAATGGGGGGTGCAGTCAGCGCTGACACTTCCTTCATCTTCAGTGAGGGGATTGTCTGGAACTTGTTCCTCCTGCTCCATCGTGGTCACCCTCTCAAAGGAGGCAGTCCTCCACAAACTTTCTCCAACATGAATTCCTCCCACGGGCCGCAGCGTTCCCCACACTGCTCCGTCAATGGTCACTAACTTCCTCCGACTGGATTCTCTACCACGGCTGTAGCCCTTCCCGAGCTGCTCCGGTGTGGGACACCCCCGCATGCTGCAATCCTCCCAGCACTGAATTACAGCAGCAGGGCTACCTTTTCCCATGAGACCCCGGCCTTCTTCGGGAACAGAACCTTGATCAACTAGGTGATAAAAACAGGCCATAAATCAGTGTCTGCTCCACCGTAGATCTTCATGGGTGGCAGAGGGGGCCGCCCTGCCGTTTCACCACAGGATACAGGGGGGTCTCTGCTCCAGCACACCTCACCCCTCCTTTCCTCCTCCTTTCCTCCACTGACCTTGGTGTTCATGCAGCTGTATCAACTGCTCCTCAGAAGTCCGACTGCCCATCACCATCCCCCTTCTTAAATACGTTATCGCAGAGGCGCAGCTGATTGGCTCAATTTCCCAAACAGAACTGGAGCTGACTTGGAGCTGGGGGATCTTTGAGAAGTTTCTCACAGGGGCCACCACGATAGCCCCGTCCCCTGCCACCAAAAAACTCCACCACTCACTCAACCCAGAACACAGGCAGGTGTGAGCACACATGTGTCCCTCTGTACTTGTGTGACCCTCATCGTGAGGGCATGTGCAGGTCATAGCCTGGGCATTCTCCCTTGTGTTTGTGAGCACCGCAGAGTAGCAGGTTGCCCATGCCAGGAGGAGTCCATCTGCAACTGGATAGCGGTGCCTTCGATCTGGCAGAGAGGTGCCCAGAGAACTGAAGCGCATTCTCTGCCTCCTGTGCCCACCAGTTCTTGCTCTACATAGATGGAGGAAGGTTAAGAAAGCCTGCCCGCTTACGCAGGCTATTGTCCCTGAATCAATGCCCTTATGATGTAGTCTTGCTGGTGACTGGGATGGGGCACAGGCTTCTCATGTACCTGACAATGCCAGATGCACTTCTGCATGTCTTCAGCCCCGTGCAGAGTGAGGCAGTGGACGAGACCTTGCACCAAAGGGATATTGGTCCAAAGGCACTGGGCTCCAGGTGTTGCTTGGCAGTGAGATATAGGACAGACCCCGGGTGCCACAGGGTGAGTCAAACAGCATTGTGTCAATCTTCTTTACTGTTCATTCACAAGCACTTCTGTAGCCCCCATGAAAACACAGAGTCTGATGGCCTAGCAACTGTGTCTGGAAAGGCAGAGACCTATGATTTTGTGGAAACCACCTACACCTTGCTGCCTGTTCAGAGGCAGGTCTGGCAAAGTCCATCTTTGCACAGAAAGAAACATGTGGACTGACCACAACCCCTCATTCCACATCCTACTGTGCTGATTAAGGATGGAGGAAATAGAAGAAAACGGAGTCTGTGAAAAAACGGTGGGGATGGAGTGAAGGTGTTTTTCCTTTTTTCCTGTTTCCCAGAATGCTGCTCTATTTTTCATTGGTAATAAGCTAAAGGAATATTCTCCAAGTCTAGCCTGTTTTACCTGTGTTGGTAACTGTTAAGTAATCCCCCTGTCTTTACGTTGACCCGTGACCTTTTTCACCTTACTTTCTCCTCCCGTCCTGTTGAGGAGGGAGAGGGAGTGAGCAGGCAGCTGGCTGGGTGTCTGGAAGTCAGGCAAAGTCTATGTGCTTTTCTAAAACGATGGTAATCAGGAGCGCCGTGAGTGTTTGTCATTTGCACGCTTTTTTCCTGCTTTCTATCTGCGCCATCAGGAGCAGTCTCTTTCTCCCACTACTTTTCCCCTCTGAGGATATTGGGCAACGATGTCAAATGGCTTTTGTGCTTGTGTACCTGGTGTGGTGGATGCACTCGATGCCCCATCACCAAACTAGCAGGAGGTTGGTACAGGCTCCAAAGGAGGTCAAGGCCTGAGCTGTGGCCAGGCCAAGAACTCCTCTAGGAAACCCACAAAGGAGCAGAGGACAGTGAGTACCAGTGCATATGAGCCTGGCACACCCTGAATAGCGGGTGGATTTTCCAAGACTCATTTATCAAGGAACAAAGAAAGTTGTGGGTACAAGGAGTCTCCTGCATACCTTTCCCACTGTATGCAATTTGACTAGGAGCCAACCACTTTATCCCAGAAATATGACAGCCTAAGGGAGCCTTCATTGAGCTCTCCCTGCTAGGCAGCATGGCTGCATGGCGGGCATCCCCCCTCGAGCTAGGATGCCTCTCAAGTTTGCTCCTCGAAGCAATGAGATCTTCCTCCAACAACAGATCATTGCATGAGCCCGATGTGATCTCTCCCTGTATGGCAACTGGACTGCACGCCAGGCAACTCTCCCCCTAAGCAGGGGTGCCTCTCACTGTAGAGAGATACTAGTCAATTAGCTTAAATAGCTAAGATTTAAATAGAATGAATCAGTTATGAAGTTGTTTGATTTAGTCTGCTGTTTGCTTAGCTTTTGTCACTTTGCATGAGTAGCTAGATTTGCCAAAGCCTCGGGCCACAAGCTGTAAACTTTCACCTAGATTTACTGAATGTGCACCTAGCGAAGCAAAACAAGGCCTCCAGAGCCAGCGCAAACCAGAAGGAAAGGAGGCTACAACCGTCAACAACAGCTGCAGCTAGACAAGGAAGTGGCCTGTCTGGAGACAGTCAAGGAGTCCAATAAGGAGTCACAAGATCTCAGACCAGAATCACTATTGGACCAAAGGGAGGGCAAGTAGTCTGTAAGGGTATAAGTGCCCAGGGATTTTTTGTTCAGGGTCCCGCTCTGGAGGCACCCAGTTCAAGCTAATTCCGCCCCTGTACCACTCTACTAAGTTATTTAATTTTATAGGATTCGATGCCTGAGACTTTGCTTTGGAAAGCCTAGGGTTTGAACTACGGAGCGAAATAACACCGGACGCCTGGATGGCAGGTGCCTTCTTTAACATCAAGGTTTGAGATTTCTTACCTGAGGCTGAGGGATCTTTCCTTCCCCAAGGCAGGGAGACCCCTTACTTGCAACAGATCCTCGGTAAGTGACTGATAGCATGTCAGATGAATGTCTGTTGAAATCCAGGTAGCTAGTTCCATTAGCCATAAAGTGTTGACCAAGTCTGCGACTAACTCTGCATCCAGCCCCACCAAGACTCCTCTCTGAGAAGGAGTTAAAAAAACAAGGGAGACCATTCTGAAACTCCAGACTTAATGGGAGGGTCTCCCTTACTCTTTGGCATCTCTGGTCTCTCTGTAAACCATTCTAAACTGATTCTAACTCGATTTGCCTTTGTATCTTTGTTCCATGCAGTAAGTAATAGAGTGAATCTTGCCATTGAACTCTGTTAAGTTGCACTTCTACAGATTCAGGTTAAAATCACTGTTGCTAATACCTTTGATGGTGATGCTTGAAGCGGTTTAAAACACTTATCTGCAACAGCTGGGAAGAAGGTTTAAAACCATGGGCAGCTTTAAAGCCTGCCTAAAGCTAGTAGCAGGTTTCAAGCCATGGGCAGAGCACAGCCCACCAACTTTCTTTACCTAGCCTCCAAAGTAAAGTAGACCCTGAACGCCATGTGGGAGGAAAGCTGTGAATAGAAGTTGCTGTGCTGATGGCATCTTTTCTTCAGCTCTTTCTGAGCCTGCTAGCAAAGGTCCTGCATCAGAACTGATGACAGAGAAGAAACACCTGTTCCCTTGGTCATCTCAGACTCCCTTAACCTGTTTTTTTTTTTTTTCCTCAACCGTCCATCCCTCTTTGCCTCTCTTTTCCAGCCCATTCACTCTCAAGGTTTCACTGATAAGTCAGGGCAGAAGATCTTGGCTGTCTTTGTAGCCCTGAGTTTCTGAGGTTCAGGTACCAAGGCTGTTCCCCGTGATCCATTGGCTTCAGGAGAGGAGGGAGGCCAGAGGACATGTGCAGACCAAGATCCTCTTCCTGTGAGGGGCTGGGGTTAGAAGCCTCATAGAAAAGGAGAAGGTGGTGAGAGAGCTTCTGTCACGGAACTATTCTTCCCCTGCACTCCAGGATGAGATTTCTCTTCCAGGAGCTGCAAAGAGAGCATGGGCTGTTGTGATCTGTGCTCTCTCTCCACATGACCACGGGAGGAACTGTCAGATGCTCATCTGTGTCATCTTGCAGCCCCATGTGAATAACCTTTGTTGTCCTGGAGGTGACTCTCTGATGAGAGTTTGGGGTGTGCAATCTGCAAGATACCTCGGCCCTGTCAAACTGTGTAATGAACAGCTGGGTCTGCATGGGGCACTGTATGGGTGTGACAGAAGAACAGAGGACTAGCCCTAGCAATCCTTGCTCTTGGATCAATGCCATACTCTTTCTTTCTGGAGATGGGTGGGATGGTGAGGAGGAGGTGGTTCTTGGCTCTAGCCGTGCCATCCTCCGTCCTTGTGGCCATCTTCTCTCTCAGCCTTCTCCCACAGCACAGCTCCATCCAGAGCAAGGGGAATTGCCTTGAGTGCTTGTGGGGCTGCTGATCTCCCAGGGCCTCCTGCAGCACTTTGGTCCACCCACAAAGACAGCACAAATTGGAACCACCATGCGCAGGGCATGCTCAGAGGAGAAGGGGAATATTTCTGGGCAGACATGCAGCAAGGGAAGGGCTGATGGTCACTGGCTGTGGAGGAGCCCGAGATCTTGTCCTCAGCTGAAAGGGACAGTGACTGAAGGAGTCCAACAGACAGTGTTTCCTGCCCTCCTAGTCCTGTAAGAATGAGAAAGGATCCACTTGCTCACGCATTTGTTCCCTCCCAGCCTATCTCCTTTCTCCTTAGGCAGCTTTGAAGAGCATCCAGAGAGGAAAGACCACACAGAGACAGAGACTGGGATGCAGCAGAGTTTAATGAGACCAGAGAGGGAAACTAGATGTCTCTGAGGGGAGGCCACAACAAACAGGTCACCATGGGCATCCAAGAGTCAGTGCCCCATGATCAAGATGGAGGTTCCACAGGGCACTCCTCTGGCTGCCCCACAGAGGGAGAGGGGCAGGCAGGTCCTCCCTAGGCTGGCTTTGGTCAGCCTCATTGCCCAGGGGAACAGAAAACAACAAAGGAAAAAGAGGGAAAGGAGGCAACAGAGAAAGGGAGCAAGAGTCATTGGCCATGTTTTCAGAGAGCCCCGGCTGGCTCCTTCCAAAGACCGAACACCCTTTGCAGGAGAAGCAGGGCATGCCCAGCCCTTCTCAAAGCAAAGGCGATGATCTCTGTCATTCAGTGTGGCATCATCTTCTGGGCTGCCGAGGCTCCTTGTCTGGGCTGTCACCAGTGTCTTTAGCAGGGGGGGCACCTTCTGCCACAGTAGCGGCTGGTGATGCAGGAGAGGTCAAAGCCCCCCGAGTTGATGGGGACTCCGTCACAGCTGAGGATGCTGCCAACGGCGGCGGAGGTGGAGGAGCCCACAACGGTGTTCTGTGGGAAGGAGCTGAGGATGGGGCCGGGCAGGGTCACCACCACGGGGGAGGGTTCGATGACGACGGTGGAGCTCTGGCACTGCCTGACACAGGGCTCATTGCAGCTGTTGGCCAGCGGGGTCGGGCCGCAGGGCTGGCAGCAGGGATCGCAGGGCTCACACGGTTGACACTTGTCAGAGCAGGACATGTCTCGGGGCTGGCAATTCACCTGGGAGAGAGAGCATGGAGGAAGCAGAGCACAAGGACACCTGCAGAACAGCTTGCAACCCCACCAAAAGGAAGACAAGGCACCTGCTCGGTGGGGAGGTAGAGGCTGTTCAGGGGGGAACAAGAGGCTCTTTTCCTGAGCCCAGCGAGGTCCTTCAGATAGCAGCCAGGCATAGGGATTCCCCTGCCTAGAGTGTCGCAATGAGGCACCTCAGCCCAGCCTCAACCCTTGTCCATGACAAACCGTCTCTCCTCTGCCCTCTTGAATTACCATGGTCTCAGAGCACTAACAGAAGACCATGGAGCAGGTGTCAGCTGAGCTGTCCTTGAAGCAAGACCCTGTCCTATAGGAGGAGGCGGAGGAGCAAAGGGGGTCCCGACTCACCTGGTTCCCAAGGAGAAGGAGGTGACAGAAGTGGGTGAGAGAGCGGTGAGTTGAACTGGCTTTTATATTGTCTTCACACTGCCTCAGGCCCAAAGGCAGCCGCTGCGTAAGCAACAATTTTCCTGCATGCTCCTGATGAACAGAAGCATGCCAGGTAATGACATGGAATGTGTTGCTGTTTACCTCTATACTGACTTTGCAATTCCTGGTTTATGTCATGCCCACTCCTTCACGGACACTTCTTTTGAGTGCTGGGATGGGGGGTCCCAGAGTTCCCGGGGATGAAGGTGAGTCAGTACGTGCAGAAGACACGTACTAAGTGCCAGAGGGGTCCGGTGGAGGCAAATGATGTCAGCCTGGAGCACTCTGGTTGGGGCTTTGTTTTTTATGATCCCGCTGACAGGAAGGGCTCCAGCTTCTCCCAACACTGCAATCCTCTGTTTGACCCCCAGGGGCTCTGGGAGTATGTGGCCCATCCTCCTCTCTCTTTCCCTCCCTGCTCACTATAAGAGTCAGTGGCTGCTCTCTTCCCAGACAGGCTGCGCTTCAGGTTTTCAACTCCCTTTCACCTTAAGCTGCCCTCAGGAGGAAATTGCCAACCTCTTTGGTCTCCTCCTCTCTCCGGACAGTCCCCGAGACTCGTCTATCAAGTCTGCCTGCGCATCTGTCCTGCTTAGAGTCCCCTTTCCCTGCTCTGGCAGGGACGGCCCCAGCAGCTCCTCAGTCACGTCCCTTCTTACCACCTCTGCCCTCCATGTGTTCATCTGCCATAATGCGCATGGGAGCGTGACTGTGTACCAGTCTGTGCACTTACATCTGTGTGCTTGTTTGCTTCTGTGTACACATAACTGTGTGCCTCTGGTGAGATCATGTTTCCATGTGCCCGTGTTAGTTTTTTGCACAAGTGTGAGGACTTGTATGCAGGTACACATGTCTATGTGCTGGTGCACATTTGCTTGTCTCTGCGCATCTGCGTCTATGTCTGTGCACACGTGTGCGTGTTGGGTATGTGTTCATGCATGAGTGTGTGTACGTCGTTCTGCCTGACCTCAAGCCTGCACCCAACCATTCCAAGTCTTGTAGTGACATCCCTCCACAACAGTGCCGGGCACTGACACGGTCTCAGCCCCTTGCTATGTGAGGGGACACAGACAGGGCCACAGCAGTCTGATCTCACTGAGGAGATCCCTGAACCCTGACCAACTCTTTTCATTCTGCCTTCAGGCCACCTCAGGGGACTGTTTCTCAGGATCCTCGCTCCTGACTCATGTAAAAGCTCTGAGGCTACGGGATTTTTCTGGCTCTGTGGGCATGTGGGAGCCCTTTGCCTCTGTTGGCCCTTGCCCAAAGCCAGAAGCTATGGGAAGAGGAATGAGAGCCTGGGGAAGCTGGGAGCAGGAAGGTGTGGAACATCAGCCTGGTGCTGAGCCAGGCAGCAGCAAAGACCTCACACAAAACTGGTATTGGGCTAAAAACACTGGTCTCCTGTTGCTGGTCTGCTGATATGTAAGATATTTGCACTAAACTAACTTAGATGTAGCATAGCTGAAGGCTGACTCCTTCCCTTTTTTGCGCTTGCTGAGATCATTCCCACATGCTGCTGCTGGAATTTTCAGGCGGAGATGACGCCACTTATGGGAGCAGCTTTTAAGGTTAATTTATAGTTCTTGACAACATGAAATTAATGTACCATTTTCTCAAGCTGTTGTGGTTTGAGCTTGGTCGGCAGCCAAACACCACTCAGCTACTCTCTCTCCTTTCTCTTCTAGCAATAAGAAGGGATGGAGAAACAGACTTGGGATTCGAGATAGAACCAGGAGTTGCAGATCACCCATTCTGGTATCGAGCAAATGGCAGTCTCGTTAGGGGAAGAAAAAAAAGTACATACATTTATTACAGACACTAACAACACGTAACAGAGTACGACAGTTAGAAGCATTGCCACATCTTGAGAACACCTTCCCCCTATCCCTCCCTTCTTCCTGGGCTCAGTTCTGCTCCCGATATCTCTACCACCTCCCCTCAGTGGTGCAGGGGTAGGAAATGGGGGCTGCAGTCAGTGCTGCCTATTCTTCCATCTTTGGTGAGGGGAGCTTCTGGAACTTGATCCCCCTGCTCCATCGTGGTCCCTCTCCCAGAGAAGACAATCCTCCACAAACTTTCTCCGACATGAGTTCATCCCACAGACTGCAACATTCTCCAAACTACTCCATCGTGCGTCACCAACATGCTCTAACTGGAGTCTATCACACGGGCTGCAGCCCTTGCTGACCTGCTACGGTGTGGGACACTCCCGCATGCTGCAATCCTCCCAGCACTGAATTGCAACAGCAGGGCTGACTTTTCCCACAAGACCCCTGTCCTTCTTCGGGCACAGCCCCTTGATCAACTAGGTGATAAAAACAGGCCATAAATCAGTGTCTGCTCCACTGTAGATCTTCATGGGTGGCAGGCGGGGACGCCCTGCCATCTCACCAGAGGATACAGGGGAGTTTCTGGTCTGGCACACCTCCCCCCCTCCTTTCTTCCTCCTTTCCTCCACTGACCTTGGTGTTCACGCAGCTGCCGCAACTCCTCCTTACAAGTCCGACTGCTCGTCACCACATCCCTTCTTAAATATGTTATCGCAGAGATGCAGCTGATTGGCTCATTTTTTGAGCATAGGTAGAGCTGCCTTGGAGGTGGTGAAGCTTCAAGAAGCTTCTCACAGGGGGATGCCCTTATAGTCCCCTCCCCTACTACCAAAAAACCCCACCACCTCAAACCAAGGACACAAGTGAAGGACTCAACCCTGTCGCTTTGTCTTCAGAGGAACCAGGCTGACATGGGTAGGAGAAATTATCTTGGCTAGAGCCCAGAGCCACCTTTTCCTCACCGTGCCAACCCGTCTCCAGAAGGAGGGGACATGGCACGCATCCAAGGGCAACGATTGCTAGGGCAAGTCCTCTGTTATTCTGTCACACCCATACCGTGTCCCGTGCATCCCCAGCAGTTCATTACACAGTTTGTCAGGGCCGCGGTGTCTCGCAGAGTGCACACCCCCAATCCCCATCAGAGAGTCACCTGTAGGGCATCCCACAGATACCCTTCACTTGGACAAGGACTTCTCTAAAAGAACTGTGTCCCATGCAGGACCCATGTTACAGCAATGGAAACAAGTAAGAAGGGAAGAGAAGCAGTAGAGAATAACAAGGAACAGAGAGAGTACACAAGGAAGAAGGTGTTATGGCTTATGAAATGTGTTTTCCTAAGTCTGTTAAAAGTTTGTCATCTTTGTTTCCCAACACCCAAATCAGCATTTCAATTTTTAAAATTAAAGTCCCCAAGGGAAATCTGTTTTGACTGCAACAGTAGCAGCTGAGTGATTTCCCTGTCTTCATAGTGACCCGCAAGTGTTCTTGCTCTTGTTCGTCCTATTTTCTCCCCCACCACTCTGAGGCAGGGGGAACTAATGAGCAGATGTGTGGGTGATGGACTGCTAGCTGGGGCCAGCCCAGCACAAGAACTGGGTGATATTCCCCAGGAGGGCACACTTGGCCGCAGGGCCCGTGAGCCCACCATGCATCTGCTGCCTTGAGCCCTCTGATCAGGCACCTCAGCACACTGGTGAGGCTGCCTTAGTGCTCAGCAGTTCTGACATTTCAGGCTGGGAAGCATGGGGAAGGCACCTTCTGGAGTCTTTTTGTCACTTGCCTGAAGATATTGCAGATCTTTTGGCAAAGAAAAATGATGGATTAACATGGTGAGAGCAGTATGTTGAAGAAAATATGAGGAGAATTTTGTTATACCAGTCAAGCTAGAATTTATATAACTGGCAGATATATTATGTAGATCTTAATCTGTGTATTTTTGCCGTTCTTCTTGACCTATGTCTTGAGTCTTCCCAGACCTCCTAGAACATTGCATCAGCACATCAGATAACTTTCAATTATATTCCTGAACTGTCTTTGTCTTTAGTGGGGTAGAACACTCAGAAGAATGAGTGAACACTCTCCACTCACATACATTGATAACTCTGTCACTCTTAGCCTTGCTTTTGCTCTCTCGTCCTTTGTTTTATTGTCAGGCATATAAATATGGGAAGGAAAAAGTAAGGCATCTTCTCCTCAGATCAGCTGCCACAGACAAAGTCAGAGGAAAGAGAGAAATACCATATTGAAATTAGCCAGTTTTCAGTGGTCTCCTGCTTCAGACAAGAGAAACCCAGTTTGACCCACTTAGGATGATAAGTGTCCTATTATTAACACTGATCACGATGAACACAAGACAAATTACAATGCAATGGCAATGTAAGTGTCTGTGTATATGTATGTGTATATATTGGCAAAGCATAATACTTTAAAAGCTACAAGGAACAAAAGCGATCTGATAAAGTCTCAAAACATTTCTGACACACAGTACCACATGCATTAGTAGATTTCACAGCCTTCAATTCAAAATTCAATGCTGGAATTGAGAAAAGGTCACCTTCGTGCTTGTCGTGGTTGGAGCCTGGTCAGCAGCCAACCACCCTGCAGCTGCTCACCCACCATCCCTACCACCTGGCAAAGGGGGAGGGAATTGGAGAGGTAAAGGGAGACTCACAGGTTGAGGTAGAAACAGTTTTAATAATGGTAACAAAATGAAAACAATGACAGCAACAGAAAATATAAATGGGCAATGCCCAATGCAATTGCTCACCACCTGCTGACCAATACCCAGCCTGTTCCCAGCTAGCAATCCCAAAATACCAAGATCCCACAATCGCAGTCCCGGAAGAGAGAGTCCGCCCCCCCCCCCCCCGCTTGCCGATCACCCCCTCCTCTATATAGTGAGCATGACGTTACATGATATGGAATATTTCATTGGCCAATTTGGGTCTGGTGCTCTGGCCGTGCTCCCTCCCTGCTTCTCGTGCACTTGCACACGAGCGGGACATGGGGAGTCGAAGAGTCCCTGAAATCTCAGCAGCAGCTGAAAACATCAGTGTGCTATCAGCATTCTTCTCATACCACACCCAATGCTGAATCCAAAACACAG